ATTTATTTTAGGTTTGTTACCTTGTTTTGTAAGTCATGTTTATATTATACAAGGGATATTTTATTATTCTTTTTTCTGTATTATTTATTTTAAAAAATATATTATTTATCTTAAAAACAAAAAAAAAAAACAAATAAATGGATTAAATTATGGATTGGATTATAACATTTGTAATTGGATCCTAACATTCGTCAAGACACAAATATTGTTCCCATTATTTTTAACTAATGAATCTCATTAGAAATCCATTCAATTAGATCAATTACCCTTGACGTTATTCAAATCATATTCACACTTTAAAAATCCTTTCAATTAATATGTTTTATTTTTTTGGTAAAAAAATTTTCAATAAATTTGATTACATTAAAATTAAAAGTAATATTTCTGGTGGATAAAAGTACTGATATCTTAAAAACGAACTTGAAAATAACTCATTTTCTTCTGTAAACTATTTACATTTCTCATGATATATGGTTTATTTTTATTTATTTAATTAATGTATTCAACTTCAAATGTCCACAATTTTAAATTTCAATTCATTGATTTTGCAATAATATGTTTGAACAAATTTTTAAATCAAGACTTATACATTTTCAACGGCTTGCCATTTTATCTTCAAATAATTTTTGTATGAGATTTTGGGCTATTTATAGTATCATTGATAAACTTGGTAGGTGAAAGTTGTGGTGTTAAAATTAGTTATATTATTCTAGATCTCACTTTTTCTCCTTTAGTTTTATAACATTTGTATTCATCACTCTACTAGGATTAGATATTTCTATGGAGTAAATCAAAGGATTTTGGGAAATGGTCTAGGGTTCTAGAGTCTAGGCACACCAAAAATTGATTTTAGCTCACCTTTATGGATTCAGGTGTGATTTGAGAAGGGTACTGAAAACGTTTTTTTTTTCTTGGTTGGTTGTTGTTGTCGTCTTAATTTTTTGTTTTTCGCCATGTCCGATTAACCTATTATTAAATTTTACCTTAGTATGCTTTACTGGAGGTCTTGCAATCTCAAAACTTAACTTGATAAAGAAAAAAACATTAAAGTTTAGATCTTAGGAAAAATTCATTTTAATAATCTCAACTATGAGCGATTTACTTCTAATAATCCCAACTATGGATTATCGTCTAATAATCCCAACTTGATATGAGTTTGCCTTTAGTGGTCTCAACTGGTCAACACACTAGTAGAATAAATGTGATGGTTATTTTCTTCCCATTACTAATTAAAAAAAAAAAAAAAAAAAAAAAAAAAAAAAAAAAAAAAAACTATGAATTGGCAAGCGGTTTTGGCGCGAACCGCTTGCCTTTTAACTAATGGCAAGCGGTTTAGGGTTGAACCGCTTACCATTAGTTAAATTGGCAAGCGGTTCAACCTTAAACCGCTGGCCATTAAAAAAAAAAAAAAAGCGGGCTCACAAACCCTAAGCCCAATAAATCTCACATTCTCACGGCCTCTCTCTCCTCTCGCCCCTATTAATAGGCTAACAGCCCTCTATCTCTCCTCTCTTTCACTCCCTCACTTCTCTCTCCTCTCTCCTCTCTCACATCCATTGTCACGCGTCTTCTCTTTCTTCTCAACTCTCCTTTCTCCATCTCCTTCTCTTATCTTTCTATCTCATCTCTTTCTTTCCTTTCTCACACCAAGACCCTCATTGGTTCTTGTGGGTTTTCGAGCGAATTCCGATGGGTTTTCGAGCGAATTCAGGTGAGTTTTCGAGCCAATTCGAGCCAATTTGTGTGGGTTTAAATGGTGGTAGTCCGGTGATAAATAACCTTTCACCGCCACTGTTGGTCGGGTTTAGTATTTAATCCCGAAAGTGCTTAAAAAATCGTATTTTATTAAATTCTTATTTTTGAAAGGTCCATGGATTAGTCTTGGTATTTGGTAAAAGCATAGTTTTAATTTTAGCCCAAGCTTGTTAATTAATTTTAAGCCCAAACCTTTTTATTTTATTATTTTATTATTTATTTTTGGCCCAAATATTTTATTTATTTTTATTTCATTATTTTCTTATTTAAGCCCGAATAATAAAAGTCAGAAAAAAGCCCGAAATTATCAATCGACACTTAAAAGCCGAAAGAAATTAGGGTTAAAAATGAATTTAGACGGAAAAATGGACTGGAACTGACCGTGTCACGGTACAGCCTGACCGTGTCACGGAAACCCTTCCCGTCTAACGGTGGGATGTTCCGTGTCCTTTCCGCGTAAACCCTTAACGCGTTTTCTGTTCCGTTTTATGAAAATTTCCCGCGTCACTCCAAACCTGTACCGTGTCACGGGAATATGTACCGTCTGACGGTACTGTCTAACTGTGTCACGGTACAGTCTGACCGTGTCACGGGATACTTTTTTAGGGTTTTTATCATTTTAGGGTTCCGTGGGCTCCCTCAGCACATTTCCCTATAAATACCCCCTCATTTATGATGTACGGGGCAACCAGAATTTTATTATTCTTATTTTCTCTCTTCTATGCTATTAACCTAAACACTAGCCTACCCTTTTCACTTCAAAATTCCTTCTTCAAGCACTGAAAGGAGTCCATATTTTACTCAAGGTTCTGTCCTTAAGCCAAAGCGTGAAAGGTAGAATCGTTTGAGGGTTTGGCCCCAAAATCAACCTTATTTCATTTAATTTAATTTAGTTATTGTTTTATTATTTCCTTGAAGTTACTAACTCGTTTATTATTTTGTAGTTGCAAGCAAACAGATTCAAAGTAAGGATCATGCTCTTTTATTATTGTTATTATTATTTTTCTAACGATTTTATGTTGTTGGAATTGTGAATAAATTGGTTTTAATATTAATATTTGTTCTATTATATTTATGATCACCATATTGCATGTTAAAGGAAATATGTAATTGAAAATCACGACTAATAAGGTAATTTGGACAACAGGTTTAGGATCCTTTTTAACCTTATTATTAATTGAAGTGATCACCAAATTTTTAGAATTATGTGTGCATTAATTTTAAACCAATTTAGTTAAATAATAGTTTGGAGCGAATTGAATTATTGTTTGTATGCCTTTGAGATCGCAGGAATGCTTTTCAATATAAGAATCGAGTAGAGGCCAATACGGGCGAATGTGACTCCATGACTCACTTCGTACCATCATCCCCGATCCTCCTTTCGTGGTTCCGAACCATATGGAGTTAGTAATCTCATGGATTATGAATGGGGTGTAACCTTCACGGGTCAATCGTTGTTGCCTTCGTTGTCCCTTATTCGTGGTTGTCTTTTATGATCCGTGAACGGTTTACAAGTTCCTTAAAAACTTGTTGGCGACTCCCTACTTTATTTGTCCCTAATCGTAATGTCAATTCCCACTTCCTATGAGTGCCAAGCATATTCACACATGCTTTTAACGTAGGCGCACTTCGAGCGATGCCTACAAACACATTGTAACATTTTTCACACTTTTCGACTAATATAGTTTTCCACTATATACCCTTGAGTTTTTTGTTTATTCACCATATACCCATGAAGTTTATAAAATTCATCATATACCCCCGAGTTTTCACAAAAATACATCATATACCCTTAATGACTAATGATTATTAACTTTGTCAATTACAAGGGTTAATTATGACCCAAAACTACCTTGAATATATTCCTCCACCTCCGAAATCACCCACGTTTCTTTTTCTCACCTCCAAAACCATCCCTAATTATTTTTCTCTTCCAAAAATCGATTATACAGATATGATTTTTGAGATTTGGAGTCGTTTCAGGGATTGGACAAAAGAAAGGAGTGGTTTCAGGGATGAAAGAATAGATATAAGGTGGTGTCGATACATAATTAATCAAATTTCACTTATCTTGTTGTCATTAAGGGTATATGGTGAATTTTTGTAACATCTTAAGGGTATATGGTGAATTTGAAAATTTTCATGGGTATATGGTGAATAAATAAAATATTCAGGGGTATGTGACTATGTGGTAGAGGTGATCAAAGTTAGCCCGACCTGATTTTGGCGGGTTTTGGGCAGATTTTTCCGGCCCGGCCTGAAAAATTATTTTTTATGGACGGGTTTGGGAATACACTTTTACGCATATTTAGTTGATTTTTTAGGCCCAGCCCGAAATTGGCTCGAAAAGCCCGCACGGCCCGACCATTTTGGACGGGTTTGGTCACAAAAAAATTTGGCTCGACCCGGCCCGAGAAGTGGGCATAATTTTTAGCTTTGGTCCGACCCAAACCCGGCATGGCCCGCCCAATGATCACCTCTACTATGTGGTGAAAAAACTAGTCAGAGTAGAGATGTCACTACATTTGAATCAGATTTGGTAGAAAACTACTCTGTATCTCTTTAGTTCTGTGCTCAACCAAATCTCAACCAAGAAAGGTTTTAATTTTTTACATAGTTTGTCTCATGCTTAGCTTTATTGATGGGTCCTTCAATCACAAAAATAAACTCAATCAAGAAAACCACAATAAGGATTAGGTTTCATCAGTTATCTATGAAAAGAATTAGTACATATTACCTTTGTCCTTCATCTACTGTTTAATGTTCAGGGTAAGAACATTTAGCAAACAATAGTACACTCCGTAGTAGATAAATTCAAGAATAATATGTTTTCGGGCTTTAATAAGGATTGCTTGCAGTATATAGCTCAACTTTGCCAATTAAGCTTAGGGCTTGTTTGGTTGACATAATAAAACATGAAAATTGAAACTTCCTAGGAGTTGCAAATTTTGTATGTTGTTTGGTTGGCAAAAATTTGGTGATTTGGGGGAAGTGAAACTTCCTAGGAATTTTGAGTTCCTGTAGGAATTCACTTACCTAACCCCCCTAGGTAAGTAGAAATTCCCTTAGGAAGTAACTTCCCTCATTGTTAACCAAACAATTTTTGGAAAATCCCATGAATTTGATTATAGGAATTACATTCCCATATATTTGCAATTCATGGGAAATTCTAATTCCCTTGTAAACCAAACGACACCTTAGTGATTATAATGACGGTTAAAATGATTGAAAGCAATACTGAGCAGAAGTCAAGATTTTTCAATAGCACGGACAAAATCAGAAAATCATAGAGTACATTCAACTATGAGCAGCCCCTTAAACAAAATCAGCGTCAGGATCAGGTTTAAGAACAGAATACACACCTTAATTATACGAAATCAACAAGAAAAGGAGACAATACGTACATTGCTTATTTATAATAAACTTGTCATCACGCTAAACATCAATGTGAAAGCTAATACTCACACCAACTTCTCAGAGATGGTGAAGGAGGTTGGGCCCGGCTGCCCGGGATTTGTCCGTGTCTGGGAGATTGGTGATGGTGGATAACTTGGCGTCTTTGTTCTCAGACTTCTCCGTGCCATGTGACTAGCACGGACAAGCATTGTAGAAACACCTGCTTCGTAGTGTTTCACGAGCCACAAAGATTCCTGCAAGTCAACTTTTTAAGAGAGAACCACCAACTTGATTATTATCATCATTCTATGGTGAGTAAATAAAATCATTAGAACAATGTGTCTACGATGAGAAAATTCTGTTAGCTTACCAGCTGATGAAAAACCCGGTGCAAAGCCGGCCAGTAGAAAGAACAGTGCTAGAGCTGATGCCACCAACTTTGCTTGTATCTTTTGCATCTTCAAAAGATAAGGAAATATCAAATATACTCCACCAATCCTACTATGAAATAATGAATGATGGATTGCTCTTATAGAATGGTTGACTTAATCATATTGCATTATGTGTTGTTTTGAATTTGATCACAAAAGGTGGATTTTTCCAGTGAGAAAGCAGATAAAATATTTGACCATTCAATCTTTCCACACTGAGGAAAACAAGTGACCAAATAGTTTTCTTTGTGCTTTCTTTAACTGTTGTTTGGTTGGTTGGTGGTAATGGTAATGAGTTTATAGGTAAATTTACAAGAAAAATCTCATGTCAGAAAATTAAATGAACTCACTTCTAATGATGAGCCACCTTTGGCAAGAGCGATGGAGTTTAGGAACCCCATTCAAGAACTGAACGGACATAATTACCTTCATGAGTCGAGCTATTTGTTGTTCGTTTGGTCAGTTGCTGTCTTGCTGATGCTATGATCACTGGCCTGGTTATTGGGAAACCATAATAATGCTTCTTGTGGACCATTTACTAAGGAAAGGAAGTAGAAACAACATTGTTGAAAATGGCCATACCTGAAGATGCATGTTCTCACTTGCAAATTTGACCTCTATTCAACAGTTGTTCTATCATGCATGCTTTAATTAAGAATTTCATGTCAAAATGTAAACTAATACAGTAGGACTTTCATCTCATTTGTCTTGTATGAAAAAGTCTACTCTGTTGGGGAATAAGTTGGACACTGTTCTTGTTCTCGCTTTAAAGCTCCTCTCAGACAGTAATCACCTACAATTAGATTTCAGTACACACAGCGCCGCAAATATGAAACATTAGATCCAGCAGCTATAAATATCTCAGGTTTATATGATTCACACCCAACAATATTAAAACAGAGGAAAAGAGAATTAAGAGGTTTTATTGCACTATAATCTTTATATAAGAGGATGCGCTTATATTTCCTCTCTGATTTTATATCTGAATGCAAAACATCACATACTAGATGACATGAGCCAGCCTTACCTTCAGGTGCCACATGCTAAATTGCTAAGAGATCTTTCCTCCTATCCAGCTGAACCCAGGTAGCTTCTTTTGCCCACTATCACGCGTATCTTCCCTCAACTTCTCCACATCATCCCACCTTTCGTGATTTGCATAGATTCTGGAGAGCAAAATTGAGTGAGAACCTTCATGCATTTGATTTTCAGAGACATGCTGCAGGATAACTTCTGCAAGAGCAAAATTTCCATGCATTTCACAACATGCTAATAGTGCTCCCCAAACACCGGCGTCAACTGGTTCAGACAAGCACAAGACAAATTCATGCGCCTCTTTTAATTTTCCAGCCATTCCCAGGATCTTAACCATGTGAACATAATGCTCATTTCTAGGTTTAATACCAAATTCATCCTTCATTCTGCTGAAAAATTCCTCCCCTTCTCTGACAAGACCAGATTGACAGCAAGCATGAAGAAGAGCAGAAAATGTGGATTCATCAGGAATTAATCCTTTCTCTATAGCTTCATCAAACAATCTAAATGCCTGCTCAGCATTTCCATGGGAGCCAAGACCCAGTATAGCGGCATTATATATAATGATGTTTTGCCTATGAAGGACATTCAAAACCTGAATGGCCAAGTCCACAAAACCACACTTTGAATACATGTCTATGAGAGCGGAAGCAACCCTGATATCTATCTCCAATCCATGTCGAAGAACATAACCATGTACCTCACAGCCAGGCCCAACATGACCCAATCGAACAGAAGCAGCCAGAACACTAGCAAGCAACACAGGATCAGCCTTCATACCTTCCACATTCCTCTCTCTAAATAACAAAAATGCTCTATAGATGTCCCCTGAATTTGCAAGCCCTGTAATCAATGCGGACCAAGTGACTATATCCGGTTTAGATAAGCTGTACAAGACTCCCTGCGCCGAATCCAAGCACTCACATCTAGAATACATGGTGACTAGTGAGCTACCAACATGATCATTCAAAAGAAAACCACTCTTTACACATAACCCATGAATTCCCTGGCCAATTTGCAACAACCTGTGCTCATTCAAAGCCGAAAGCAAACCTACAACCGCATATCCATCCGGTTGAATCCCCATATTCCTCATGGCATTAAACAACTTCAACCCTTCATCCCAAATTCCACAATACCCATAACCTTGTATAAGCGAATTCCACGTAGCCAAATCAGGATCAATTACACCATTAAACACTTTACTAGCATCATCAACAAACCCAAGCTTTGAATAAGCATTCACAAGTGAACTACCACAAATTGAATTCATTTGCAACCCAGAAACTACCAACCCACCATGAACAAGCCTAACACCCTCAACATCATTATTCTCATAACAAGCGCGTAAAATGCAAGCAAACGTAAAATTATCAGGACATAATTCAGACCTAAGCAGCTGATTAAAAAGATGAAATGCATTCTTAAAGTCATGAACTTGAGCATAAGCTCTAATAATGGAGTTCCAAAGATAAATGCTTCTTTGAGGACTTTCAGCGAACAGTTGGTGTGCAGAGGTAAGATCACCATTGAGAGCATAGTATCTAATGATTTTAGTGGCAAAAAAAGGGTCAAGAGAAAGATGGGTTTTAGCAATCATGCCATGTAATTGCTTGGTGTTTGAGATAGTTTGATGGGGTATTGAGAATTTGGACAGTATTATTCGAAGTGGTGTGATCATTGAATTAGATATTGTATGATCATACTCTGTAAATCTGTAATAAAATGGTTCAGATTCCTACTACCATTTAATCAAAATTGTGTCAAAAAAAAAGTTCTGAAGTTTATAGAAAGAGGGATTTGAAGAAAAAGTTTGTGGCAATTGAATTTGAACATAGAAGGAAGTTTGAGCTAGTACAGGACATAAGCCGCAAATCACAACAGTGATTACTTGATTAGTGAGGAATAATGAGACACGGTTACACTGGGTTAGGCGCAAATTTAAGTATGAGTCCGTACTCCCTTTATTCCTTAATGCTTACCCTATTTTTATTCAGTGTTTTGTAATTGTGTGGCCGGAGTTACTTATCTATGGGTTAATTATTTTAAATGTTATTTGATTGACAAATGACTACATATTAATATAATATGAGGTTATTTAGTTGATTAACACATTTTTTGTGTGAGAGTAATCCTTGAATAAGTACCCCTGACCAACCGATAACCCCAGATGATGTAACTCCAACCACGCGATGTTTTGTGATTTTTAATTGGGTAATGTTATAGGTAGCCTTCACGGTTACAAATAACAATTAAATATTATTTCTAATCTGGGAAGAAGTATTAATATAGAAATGCATTACAAAATATTCCACGAATCAATATACTTAAGTTTGTGATATATATATTTTTGATAAAAACTTAATGAATATATTTTATTAATACTTTTCTCTTTTAGCTTATTATGTTTTTGCGTATAACACGTTCCCTTTTATTTTTATACTCCAATTCAAATTGTCCGTTCATTAGTTCGAAACTTCCTCCGTTTAGTAATAATAATTGTAATATTAGGTATGCACAATTTTTTTTTTAAAAAAAATAATATATTTGGAATAAAAATAAATAAATAAATAAATAAATAACATTTTATAATACTTCCTCTGTTTTTTTAGTTGCTAAACTTTGCAAAACACGGTTTATATTCAAAAGATTGAAAGAAATGCCAAGCATAAGTCAAGATAACTCACTAGCTAGAGAAAATCACAGTATATTCCTAACTTAGAGCAGCCTCTTAAACCAAAACAAAGGCAAGGTCAGGTCTAACTTTAAGAGCAGAATACACCCTCAATACTCGAAATCAACAGGAAAGCAGACGATCGTTAAGGAACATTGCTTATTTGAGTTATTACCATATGGAAGTAGGCATCCACTAGCCAGAGTACAAGCATATTCCTTGTAGAATTGAACCACCTGTTATTCAGTCTGGAGAGAATTGTTTAGTAAAGGAAATCGCATGAACACAATGTCATCGATTAAACGATTCAAACTGTGGTAGGATGTTCCATCTTTAGCCACAGCTTGGGCAGCTAGCTTAGCCATTTCTCTAGCTCTTTTTGACAACTCGTCTCTTCGAGTCTCCATAAGATTTTTGATCAACTTCTCAACCACAACTCTATTACAATTATCCTTATTCATGTCTAGTCCGATCTTCCAAAGCTCGGTTACAACCCTGCTATTCGCAGGTTGATCAATTCTGAAAGGCCAACAAATCATTGGAACACCCGTAGCAATACTCTCTAGAGTCGAGTTCCAACCACTATGCGTCAAAAATCCACCAATTGCACCATGAGCTAAGACCTCTTCTTGTGGTGCCCAACTCACTATACACCCTCTAGCCTTTGTGCCCTCTACAACATCTTCAGGAATCTCTAAATTCTGGTTCATTTCAATTTTTCCATTCAACTCGATTATCGAGCCAGGCCTTTGAACCCATAGAAATCTAGTCTTGCTATTAACTAAACCATACCAAATCTCCATGAGCTGCTGTTTTGTCAGGGATGCAATACTTCCAATGCTCACGAAAAGGACCGATTTTGAAGGTTGAGCATCAAGCCATGCCAAGCAGCTTCTGTCTTCTTGCCATAAACTATTAGAAATCGATTTAGTTGTCTCTTGTTGGATCCTACACTTAAGGTTTAAATGAAGGGGCCCAATGTCGTATACATTAGGACATAATGCACGAACGTGAGTGAAATAATCACCTTCAAGCTTATCAAAGGTGTCTATTATGTGCCCCTGAGCTTTTGGAAAATTCTGCACTTTCTTGAGTACTGTTTGAACCTCAGGATTGTTCGGATCATAAGCACGACAGAAGGTCGGAAGATCCCGGCGCCTTTAGTAAGTTTCCATTCCTGGTACACTTGTTATTGCTGCATCTAAGTCTCCATCTCCTACATACAAGTGAATGAATCGAAAAAGTGACAAGAGATTGTTAATTTGAACTTATTTAGATTGAGAAAAAAATTAAAACTTTGTTATTAGCTCATCCCGCTAAAATTCCTCACATAAAAGCATAAAACCATGTGTGTGAGAGGGGAGAAGGGGTGGCTGCCATGAAAAGGAAGGTGAGAAGGGGGAGCATAGAGAAATATATATATATATATAAACCAAAAATAATTGACCAATTACAAATCAACACGTGTTAAGTTTACCTATTAAACCAATTATCTACAGGTCAAGGCTCAAAGAGAGTAACCCCTAAAATAATTAAAAAAACATAAGGGAGTATACTCTCTCCGTTCCTGAAAGTTCGACTCACTTTGCATTTGCACGGTCTCCAACGAACATCTTTGACCACTAATAACTTCGGCTATGTATAAATAAAATTTTAAAAAAAGTTTATATTTGAAAATTCATCATAAGGGGAATATAATAAGATCAAACTTGTTACTTTATATTGATTGTATAAATCATAATATATGGTCAAAGTTACTTTATTTTGACCACATGAATAATAAGTGAATCGAAGTTTCAGAAACGGAGGTAGTATATACAAAGTAGTATCATTAATGTATCAAAACAATTCCAACAAAACCCTATCTAACTATATTTAATCATAATTATAAATCACAAAAGATAGTCCAAATAATGTTTGAAAATAGTGTCAAAAGTTAAAAAAGTGTGAAATAAGAAAATACAAATCTAAAGTTATGAAACATTGTAATTTAAAGTGTGTAATTAACATGAAATGAGTATAAGCAGAAATGAACGAACCTTGGAAAGGAAGATCAGCAGCCTTAAGCATGTTAGGAATACAAAGCAAAGTCCAAAGGCAACAAGGACTAATGGTATCAAAATAAACAAGGGGCACATTCAACTCTTTAGCAACCTCTACCATGCACCCATACGTCTGCTATAATACATGTCACCGGTTTCTTTAAATAAGCATCAGTCGAGCCAAAAGCCAGCCCCTCCCTCAGCCGGCTACCCTCAGTTTGGGCCTGAGCCTCTAGGGAGATAGTCAACAGGGGAACATTACGAGGGATCTCATCGGGCCCAAGCCCATCAGGGACTGTCTCAAATCGAAAGTGAGGCTTGTAGTGGACTAGGCGGGCAGCTGCATTAGAGTTGAGTACTAGGCGGTGGTGGATGTAGTCAGTGGTGAGGAAGGTGACAGAGACAGCTGCAGGGCTGAGGGATAAAATGAGATCGGCTAGTTTAAGCATACAGTTCACTGGAGCTTGGATTGGTAAAGGGAAGATCACTACATGTGGTGATGGAGATGGTGTATGGAAGTTAGGACTAGGATTAGTATATTTTGTTAGATGATCTTCCATTATGTCTAGGAAATGTTTGGTGTTTAAATTTGGTATGATCTCTAGCTCTTTACACTACCGTAGTATTGTCTAACTAATGGTTAAATGTTTAATGAGTCATACAAGTATATAAGATCCCAATCCCAGTGTTTTTTAAATTATGATTAGCAATTGGCAATCATTGCTTATTAGCATATTAGTATATTACTCCGATTAATAAATGACTAGTAGAGAAAATATTGTCTCTAGAGTGGAAACTGGAATCTATAATTGGACTCTATAATGGCCTTATTAGCATTTTAGTATATTACTCCTTAATTAATAAATGACTAGTTGATTTATACTGTATTAAAGATTATCACACAATTATAGGGCAGGTAACCTAATGTCAAAAAGCGGAAAATTTAGTCTCTAGTGTGGAAACTGGAATCTATAATTGGACTCTATAATGGCTAATCTACCTTTGCTGCAACTAGCCAAAAGCAGATGCTCAGTTGCTGAAGATTGGTTGCACAAGAAATGGATGCCAACTAAAATGCCATCTTTTGTCTATGATATAGCACATATGAATATCAGTTTACAAGAGTACATACACAATAACACAAAAGAATATTTTCCAATATTAACTACCAATTGAATGATCTAATTGAGGCATTGAGCAGAAAAGCAAAGATGGGCCATATATTTCACTTACAAATCAACTCCTATATTATGTCTATTCTACAGTCACCAATCAAACAATATGATATGGTTTATCTTTCAGAAGGATGCTACACATATCAAAACATAACACCTTGATTAAGCATTTCTAGCGTACCTTCAATCTCCAAATGAAATCCATAATCAATATGATACAAGAGCGATTAAAACCAACAGTGGAATCTGCATCCTCCAGAAGCAGTATTCTTGCAATCCCAAATTCCCACCAACTTCATTTCACAAGGATTGTGTTTACATGCTCCTAACCGCGACAAATTGGCACTAAGAGGAAATTGTTTCAAGTCCTTCCTTCCTTAATCAAAAGGATAGCTAAATTGAAGCATATCATGCATTAAACTTTCCACCAAAAGGAGTCCACATATCAACATAACCCCTCAAAGACTTAGGCATTGCCTTCTTCCAAGCAACCAAATTCGGCAAATCACCTGTAAGAGCAAGGGAACTATCATCCTTCCTAGTCCCAAGGTTCAACACAAGGAGTTGATCAGGAAAAACCTCATACATTGCCTTCAAAGTCTCTTCCATAACTAATTTCCCGTCTCTCCTCGAATCCTCGGCCTCAACACAACTCCCTCCTACATTAACCATTATCCTTCCACCTTCCCTCAACTTCTTCTTCAACTTCTCCCATGTCAAAGGGTCCTGAAGCTCAGGTATCAAACTCCCTTCACTAAACAAATCAACCAAAATCCCAGAAAACCCATTTCTAACACTAGCTTTCAAAGCATCACCAATGTAAACAAAGAGCCTATCAGGGTATTGTCTTTCGAGTTTCGAAAGCCCGAAAAACTCCCTCCCCACATCAATTACAGCAGGATCAATCTCCCAACCATGAACTACACCTTGAGGGTACAATTCCAACAAGATTTTAGCAGCTGAACCAGCCCCAAAACCCAAAACCCCAATTGGCCCAGGAGGTATAATTGGAGTCAATGTCCCAAAAACATCAAAGTAAGTATCAGTTAGGGTTCTAAACAAGAAATTGATACTATGAATGTTTCCAGGACCATCTAGAAGGAGAAGCCTAGAACCCCTAAAAGGGTGGTCAGCCTTTCTAGAAACTTCTAGAACCCTAATGTAATTATAACGAGACTTGAATTTTACAAGGGTTTTGACATAATCAATAGGAATGCCATCATCTTGAGTGCTTGAAGGGGAAGATGAATGGTGGGTTTGGTCAGATTTTGTGGATAAGGGTTTGGGAATTGGGCGGGAAAAGAGAGGTTTAGGAGAGAGAAAGTTGGGATTTTGAGGGGTGCAGGAGAGAGAATGATGGGAGAATTGAAGTGGGTAAGGTGTATTTGGAGGGAATTGAAGAGAAAGAGTGAAGCTTGAAAAGAGTGTTTTCATGGAGGTTTAACTGGTTTTTGGGTTCTCTGCTTTGGTTCTCTGATTACAGGAGATATACGACACCTCAACTGCAATTAAAAAACCACCCTGAAATGTGGATGTCAGTTGGTTAAACTGGTGGTTGGTATCTCAAGAGTACTCCCCCCTTTTTTTTAAAAAAAAAAATACTACTCCATAGTATATCAGTTTGCCTGGTATTTGCCGAGAGACAACTTTGATTTATACAGAACTCCCGCATCATTTCTGTAATACTCCTTCCGTTTTATAATATACTTCATTTCATATGAATAATGGCATGTCCTCCTTATAAAATATTCAGTTCAGTTTAGTGAATCAAAACATGCCCTAAGTATAGTCTTTTTAGGTTAGTCTCAATCTGTAATTTAAAATCAGTGTTATACCAAGTAATTTAGTTTTACATACACTTATCACTTAATGAAACTATACTTTGAGACGAAAGAAAGGTTTTTAAAAAAAAAAATGAGACAGAAAGAAATATGTAGTTTCAAATCAGCTTACACTGATATGATTTATAATTATGTTAGGTATGTATATATAGCGTATTCAGGTTTCTCATATTTGCTTCAACTTCTCTACTAATCTTTCTATATGAACTAGTTTTGTGCCCCGTGCAATACCCGGGTTGTTTATTGAAGATAAAATATTAATCTATATGTCAAAATTTTAATTTTATTATTGATACAAAATTAGTTAGGAATTGATGTGCTTTTATGACGATTTGCTATATTTAATCAAAAAAATTTAACAAAATTATAATTCAATTTGTACCTCTGAAATATTGGTATTTTATTGAAAATAAAACTCTAAACTAACAATTTTATCAAATTATATCTAAATAGAATTTTAAATTAACTTTTTATTCTCTATTTAAATATATCCAACGTGGCGCGACACTTGGCGATGAAAAGTTGAAACGCCAAGTGTCAATACCTCGTGACCTGGCTAAAAGTTTAGCTTTATATATATATATATATAAGTTATATGATTAGATGGGTATGGGTAATGGAAATGAAGTTCCTTTGATTTCTGTTTAATAAAAACCTGAAATTAGACTACACCAGTCTATAATAATCACAACACATAATACGCTACACATCTTCAACATCCCTCTCACCATCTCAAGCACACTTCCAACTCGAACCACAACCCTGATCCACTCTATCATCTAAAACCACAAAGAGCAGGAAAAGAGAGGAAACCAACATGACAACTTTGAACTGAAGTTCTAGCTAATGTTAACATATAGCACAACAATCTTCCATTGAGAGAGATACAATTGGCAAATTTTTTTTGTCCAAAATGGAGGCAGTTCTGCCAATAATAGAGTTGTGCTGACTTCTTTCCTTTACAATCCCATAACAAGATGAACATAGAGTAATGACACCTGATTAGTTAATAAAAACAATGTCTCCCTTTCGTCAAAAAAGCTCCGATCTTGAGGGACTGTCCAGCATATGTCAATAAGAGTGTCATGTTTCAAGTGAGCCATGCAATCAAATAATCCAATGCTGCTTAGTGTTTTTTTCACACACTCCACGTCTGGGATCTCATCTGCATAAAGAGTAGCAAAAACCACTGATGTTAGCTATTGCTATCACAGAGCCGGAAATGTCATTGCAGCCTGATATATTGCACTGCAACAGCCTTTTGTAACACAGGCAAAACCCTAGCTAGGAAAACCTGAGGATACAAGAAAGACAGAAATCCCTCCATCCCATTTTAAAGTTAGCTAAAGAAGTAAAAAAAAATTGAGTGTATAGGTGGGTCAGTGTGTGTGTGGGGTCTAACTTCAGAGGAAAATCTTACAGTAAGAAATTATTAAGACATCTAGAGTAAAGGGAGTATTTGATGACAAGACATCTAGAGTAAAGGGAGTATTATTAAGAATTAAAGGGAAGAGAGCAAGTTAATCCCCTTCCAGAAGAAGATTTCATTTGCTGTTATTAGAAGTAGGAAAAGAAAAGAAGGGACAGTGAACAAGCCTAGAAATTAAAGAACTGGTATCACAGTCATGCTTTACATTTCCCTCCACCCATTTGGCCATTTCAGCACAACTAAGAGAGTCAAATGTGTGCAATCATAACAATACAATGATGTAAAATGTTGGTTTCTTCCTGAAATTCATTTCTTGAAAACCCTGGACTAAAAAGACTAATGGGAAGTCAGCCTCAGGAGGTAATGGTTTTGGCTATATGTCATATTACTCCCTCCGTCCCAAAAAGAACGACCCATTTGGCCAAAACTTTGTCCCAAAAAGAATGACCCATTTGCATTAAAACACCACCAATTTACAACAATATTTGTGCAAAATTAGCTTCCCCATATAAAAATTTCATTTTCCATGTTATTTTATTACTTTCTCTCTCTATTTTTTTACAAACCCCATGTAAATTTATCTTTCCAATATACTTTTACTTCTTTTTACTTAACTTCCTTAATACCCGCGTAATCAACCCAAATGGGTCGTTCTTTTTGGGACGGAGGGAGTACTAGAAAACACTCGATGAAGATAGGGATATAAATGACATGTGGATCAATCTCAATATACTCCCTCTCTCTAGCTATGGCAATGGGATGGAGTTAAGAAAGAGGAAGGCAAGTTATATTACTTATATAACATGGGAATAATATAAATCATACTTGCTGTAAAGAATAAGACTTACTTCCTGTCGTCATTTACTACAAACTGTACTCAGGTCTCAGGGTCCGGGGTCAAGGAATCATATGGTCTTCAGGATCAGAATCATAATCTTCACCATTCCAGATGCGAGGTTTTGGTCTTTGGTCCTTATCTTCTTCTTCCTGTACAAGCCCAAATTCACATATGATCAAAAACAAAACATTTTGGAGACATACTCAATGAACCAAAATGAAAAAATTAAAGTTCACTGGCAGTGGACCTCTTCTGGCTCCTTTGTGATAGGAGGAGTTGTCTGGAATGGAACACTTGGCGCATGAGGTATTCTAGATAATTGCTCTAAAAGAATATTTCTGCAACATTACAAAGGGCACATCGGAATCAGAAGACAAAGCCAAAAAAGTTTCGTAAACACAGCACTTGATACATACAACTATATAAGTAATGGCAGTGAAACAATGCATAAACATATAACACTAGTTCAACCTACAGTCAACCAAACAAGCTTTGGCACAAATGGCACTTCCTAGGAAAGAAAACTTCTAATTGCCAAAGCCTAGAATACTCCGCCACACCTCCAACAACTAATGCGTATATAATTTATGGATTAATAATAATATAATAAACTAAAACCTTTACTTCACATAAGTTAAATATAACCTCAGTGGCTCATTGCCTGGGCAATTATTCTTCTAAAGCACCAGTTGCACACCATACCCAACTCAATAAAGTTCATTTACCACTTAACCATACCCATAAGCTAGAACTTAGGCCAACAAGAAGCAAATAAAGACACAAACTCAGAAAAATATATGCCCATACTAATCTCAAATATTGCACATATAATGAAATAGTTTAGTGTTGCACTACTAAAATCTACAGCAATATATGTATAGACAAACTTCAATAATTGAATATCTGAGATCATCTTCTCTCACATATTCTGAATTAAAAGTGACAGCCTTCATCTAACTAGCACTGAATTCTAAATATACAAGGATGCTAACATCACCTTCAATCTATAATCCTATTGCAGTCAAAGCACTCAAAGAAAATGTAAAGCTCCCTTGTCATATGTATAAAGAATAAAAAAGGGTCAAGAATAAAAAGAGAAAGTTACTGTGCAAATCCTCAACAGGAAAGGTAGACATAAACTAATTAATCAGACAAAGTGAGATGAAAACTCAACACAGGCCTCTGATAGAATCTAGCAGGCTAAGCAAATTAATTACAAATTGGAAGCTCTGTTTAACTGCTAATAGCCAAAATAAATAAATATCTTGGAAAATAAAATCTTGTAATGTCCATAACGGCGAGTAAATTAACCAGAATACCCTCAACAGCATTGCAAAAATTGCTGTCTTATGGTTAAACAAGAAATGCAGAATTACCGAATTTTCTCCATATCTTTAGGCGAGTTTTGGTTCTCCATGTTACTAGGCTCAACATGAAGGACGTAATCTGGGCCAAAATACTCATAATACTCATTGTAAGGTAACTTATTATCAGGTTCGACTCCAACTGCAACTGCTGTCTGCATATTAATCATATGAAACTTGTTAAATAGTAGAAAAATAGATGTTAAAGTTTCCAGAGAACCAAAGACAGACAAAAATACACATTTGAATGCACCTGAAAACAGAGAGAGAGAGAGAGAGAGAGAGAGAGAGACCTCATAACACCAACAACGAGCTACATTTCGAATAGTGTACCCTCCTCCACCCAGCACCATTAGAGGGACATTGAATGATCTGAGAAATCGCAAGCAATCAGCATGACCCTTCACAGATAAGTTAAAACAGCCAAGCCTATCACCAGAGAGTGAATCCGCTCCGCATTGCAGGACAACTGCATCGGGCTGGTAAACATCCATGACTTTTTGAATAATTGGTCTGAATAGACCCCGGAAGCTGTCATCATCTATTCCATCATTTAATGGGACATTAAGAGAGTAATGCTTCCCAGAATTTGCTCCAACGTCTTTAATGTGTCCAGTTCCAGGAAAAAAGTCACCAAACTTGTGAAAAGAAACAGTCATAACTCTATCAGTGGTGTAGAAAGCTTCTTCAACACCATCTCCATGATGCACATCAATGTCAATGTATAGTACACGCTGCATAAAGAAAGAGTGAGATCAACGGAAAAGAGAAAGAAGTAGATAGAAACCCTAGTAATCCACACTCTGAAGGGGATAAATACACAGCCAAGAAGTCAAGACGAATTGGTGAAGCTGAAGACATGAAAATCCCATAAAACTAGAGGAACAAGCCAATCAAAAGACCTCATGTAAAAGCACATTTGCAGGCAGGAATCAGTTATTTATCAGCAATCAGCATAGAACAATCAATTATCAGATAGCTCACCCAAAATCAACAGAGGTAAAAAAAGCTAGCTAAAATAACTGAGCCAGGAACTCAATAACCCTTCATCAAGGAATGCTATACCTACACCCTAGAGCAGTCATGAAGCTATCAAAAAGTCCCTCTTACAAAAGCCAGGTGAGAGGGATATTAATTTTCTGTCAAAATTAACTTGATCAATAAGTTAATAAAAAAAAGAGAAAAAAAAAAAAAAAAAAAGAGGGTATATTAATGGAGCAACAGTAACATAAAAGCTCCAACAATTTGTTTTCCCATCAACTCTCCCTCTGTCTCCTAAATATTAAGCCATAAATCTCATGCTGCCATTTCTCAATGATCTCAGGGTTTGAATAATACGAAGTATTTGACAGAAGATGTCATCCAACCAAACAAGGTGGTATTGCAATTTTCAATAGAAAAGCCTGAATTTCACTTCAGTCTATATAGACAATCAACTAACTCTAAATCTCAAATAATTTCATCAAATCAAACACTAATCATAACATAGGGAATGCAACAAAACAACATTTCCCCACATAAAGTCCTTTCTCCATCTTACATGAGATTTTACTACGACATTCCTTCCTACCAAAACTCAAGCATAATGCTCTTAGTAATCGAACCAATAACTCAAGAGAGTACAAGGTCAAGCCTTCAGAATACACTAACACCTAATGCAAACAGTTAAGAATCATTAAAACTCAGAAAAAAGGAGCAAAGCACAATATAAAAATATAAAAAGCCTAGTGAATTTCAGTAGCTCAAGTATCCACCATTAAGAGGACAAAAATTATCTTAAAATTAAACTCAAACCATCTTAAGAAGCGCTAATGACTCATTTTGTTAGTAACAACTTGAGGCAATGTGTTTTTCTACACGAATTTTCGTAACCACCCAACACCACGTCTAAATTGTTCATGAAAGATGACACAAAATAATGATGACGATTATATACTTGGGGTCATAAGAGATGGACAAGCATTACCATAGACATTGATAGGAGTCTTTCCTTACAAAAATACATAAAAAATTCATTCTCAATACGGCCTATCAAAAGGATCACGAGAAAACTAGACAGAGAGTTCACACTAACACTATATAAATTCTCAAACAGTCCACAGGCTCAAACAGCACTACAGTCACAAAGCTAAATTGCAATTGGCAATCAAAAGAATACTATGACACTACCAATCAAGTCAACCCACCCCCCTTCTTCCCCCAACCCCCACCCCACCCAACACACACAAAAATCAATACTGTAAACCAAAATTAAACACCAAATTCATCAATCAATAAATAAATAAAAATGACAAATTTATAAGACCCAAAAACAGAAAATAATGTACAGTATACTTATAAATGCAAATATTAAGAGGGGTGCGAAAGTTAGGAAAAGGAAAAGGCACAATACCCTATGAAATTTAAGAAGCTCAAGAATCCCAAGAACAATATCATTAACATAACAAAACCCAGAAGCCTCAGATTTCTTAGCATGATGCAAACCACCAGCCCAATTAATAGCAATATCAGCATCCTTTCGATTCAACTTAACAGCAGCCCCAATAGACCCACCAGCAGAAGCCTGACAAAACGAGAAAAGCCCAGGAAAAACAGGGCAATCATCTCCAACATTGAACCTCTTCAAGTGCCGATTATGAGAATGATCAAGTGTAGAAGAAGCAGAGGAAGAAGAAGAGAGAGAACCGCAGAGTTCAGGGGAAACGGAGGAGAGAAACTCGACATAATCGTCGGAATGAAAGCGGCGGATATCGGTGGCGGCGGCGGGGAAAGGGCGGTTGATTTCCATGCGACGGTGAAGAGAGTAGTGGACGATGAGATTGTGGGACATACGGATGCGGTGGGGTTTCATGGGGTGGCCTTGACCGTAGTAGTAGTCGCCAATTGTGGGTTCGTAGAAGTAGGTTACTCGACGTTTTTGTGCGTCGGTTGATGCGGGTGATGGGAGTGATGCGCCGCCGTGTATGGCGGGATCTTCCATTGTTGAAGTGAGAGGAAGCTTTTTTGTGTTTCTGGTTTTTCGAAGGAGGGAGAAGAGAGAAGAGGGGGGAAGGAAAGAAGGAGAAGTTTTTAGGCCAACTAGCACACACACATAATTTAATTTTGGTGAGTAAATTTGATAAAAAAATTAATTTAAGTTCAATAAAAATACGAATATATATTTAGTTGTATAATTTAAATTATAACCTAGTTCGTATGAACGATACACCGTGATGAAGTATATATACAACATAAATTAAAGATGGAATTAGGTCAAGTTAACTTGAGGTATGGCACGACACAATATGAAAATTCGACATCCTTTTCCGACATGTTAAAAAAGTTCACGTTTTGATTACTAACGCGAGTAAATAGTAAGTGGAGGACTAAAATGAAAAATTACATTGTCCCGTTGTTTACTCATCCTCTCCACCGTCCACCATTGTTGGTTGTTGTTGTCGCCACAACTAGCTGCAAGCCCACATCAACCCCCACACAACCACCAATTCGCCGCCAATAACTACAAGCCGCCACCAACAACACAAAGGTTTTTTTTATTAATAAATTTTATTTTCGGGCAACGCCTGGTTTTATTGGGCCACCGAGGACGCTGCTAGGTTTTCTAACAAGAACTATATAACATCTTTTTTTCCAAATTGTGTCCTTTCAAGTTACAAAATAAAATGAAATATTGATTACATAGTTTCAAGATAAAGAGATTATAAAAAGTTTGCTACAATATGAAAAATACTTCTAATCACTACTGAGGTGGTTTTGTGTTGATTTTGTGTTTATGCCGTATCAATGGGTATATTAGTATATGTAATAGCTTTGGGTCTCTCTCGTGTTGGTTTTTAAGATGAATAGAGATAAGAAAGCCCGGGTTTCTCTTCTTGATAAACATACATTGTCCCTTTATTTATCTAGGGGTAAAAATGTAATAACACAAACTAATCCTCTAATTAAAATAGTGGTTACAACTTAGAAGTAGTGATTTAGGGTATAAGACCTAACCACTATTTCAAGTTGCAATTAGGGATGACAATCCACTCCTGGTCCAACCCTACCCCGCCACGATTCGAGGAAAAAAATCCGCTCTAAGTCCGAGAAAAAAGTAATCCGAGTCCAACTACGTTAATATAGTCTGAATCCGACTAAGTTAAAATAATCTGACTCCAAGTCAGAGGAGGGTTGAAGTCGGATGCTACAAAAAATCCGAGAAAAATCAACTCTGACAAACGTCTAACTCCGACTTCCTATAGGGTCGGAGTCGGATTTAACATAATCCGGTTTGAGTCCGACCCGTTGCCATCCTTAATAATAAGTGCGATTATACGTATGAACAGTGAATAATACTTCGCCTGCACAAGCAATCAGAACAGTTTGAATGGGAGTTCATTACCGCCTTACCTTGCTCGCTCGATTCACAGAGGAACAATTCTTCATTTATTGAAGAATTTTCAGGTAATTGTTATCTGCTCAAATAATTATCATCGCGAATCTGAAATATATATATATATATATATATAATTTATTGATAGGTGTGTTTGCTTTTATTCATTTATTTTTCTGAAAAATTATACAGTTTGTGATGTAATTTGCTTAGCATTTACAAAGGAGAAAGCTTTATGGAAATAATTCAATTCGACTAGTGTAATTATTCATGAATAGCATTTACAAAGTAAACAGCTTTATGGAAATAATTCAATTCGACTAGTGTAATTATTCATGAATAGCATTTACAAAGTAAACAGCTTTATGGAAATAATTCAATTCGACTAGTGTAATTATTCATGAATATATCAGTCAAATTGAAAGAAAAATCCTAATTTTTGAATTGGATGATATTGAAGAATGTTTGTATAATAAGATCACTTAATTACAAAGTTGTATCAGCTTGTCAATGAATTTGTGATAATTACCGGGGTTTTTGAGAAATTCTTGGTGATTTTTGTCTGAAAATAAGATGAATTTGTCATTTTATCAGCAAATATGTAGCTTGATGTTAAGAACTAATATGTGATTATTAGTCTATATCCTGCTGTTGGAATGGATGCAATGCACATCTTGCATAAAACACTTGTCCCAGTCCGAACATGCTGGTAGAGTTTGAGGTGATTGGCGTAACCTGAACACATTGATTGATCAGCTCTAAGTCAAGTAGTACGTTTTTCGTCTTAAAGTTTATAGACACCACTTCAGCATTGATGATTAAGAGATCATGGAGAATTAGGGAATATAATTGTTCTGATTTATACTTTTTAATCTATTGGACATCATTTGGGTCCAGTCTTGAATTGAATGATCAAATCTTGCTATCATTAAGTAGTTTAACTTTAGTTGGATTAAAGCAGGTATGTAAAGTGCCTTAGTTTGTTCAGCCATATAGCCTGCAAGTATGAGGTTTAAATATTCTTCTGTGCTTCATCTGGTGCTCGATAAAAGGTTCAATAAACTTACAGCTCAATGACGCAGCCTTGTTTAATTTGTCTTAACTCTTAAGTAGTATTCTCACCAAATGGAAACCCTAATTATTATTGTTTATGTTCATAAGTAGAGAACAAGTGCTAGGGTAGTGAGGATCCTTGTAGAGACATCTGTGTGCCGAAATAATGAGATACAATCAAAATATAAGGCATTACTTGTATAGCAAACAGACTGAAGAGTGAAAATCCCTTGAAAACTATAGAAAACAAAAGGGTGAAAATTGATTCATTTATGTTTTTTTTAGACTTTTATGAAATGTTGGTGAAAGGAAAATAAGATGATGTAGTGGAAAATTATGTCTTGTATTTTGTTCTTGTTAAATGTATTATATTAAGAGGAATAAAAATGGCAGGCCATATAGTACACATCCATGGATATCTCAATGCCTTCTATAGGATATCAGCGTTTAGTGTAAATATGATATAGTTATCATCTGTGAGATTTTCATATCCTCCTTTGTGTACTACTCTACTGAGTTGGAAAATGCTTAATTACTTTTCTCAATGCCATCTTTTAAGAGTTTGGTGCTCCTGTATCAGAATTGGCTTTATCAATGGGAATTACAATTTCTCTGGTTCTGTTGGAAGCTCAGTTTGGTGACTGCACCAATGTGACACAATACACAAGTATTATTCGATCAGCTCTTAAACAGAGGAGAGGAAAATGGTTGTTGCTACATGCAAATTGGAATCAATGTGGTACTTCCTCATGATGTAATTTTCAGAGGACTGAATATCATTTGCATGATAAGAAGAACCCTTCAGGTATACATCTGTTCTCTAAGACTTCAAGTATAGATTGTTGACTAATATGAGTTGAATATGGGTCTACTGTATGAATTTCATGCTATGTTTTCCTACTCTGTGAATCAGTGAAAGCAAATGTGTTATTTTGAATCTGGGGTTTAGAGAGAATGACCATGCATGGAGAGGTAGAAAAAATCATTTACCAATATGACCTGACGTTTATTTGATAAAGCTTCCGATTAATATATTTGAAGTTCCTCTCATTTAGATTGTTTCCTTAGTTTACTTTTGTTGAATTTAACTCATTTTTGTTTTAGTTATTTCTGCTGAACTTTTTTACCTTTTCTTTCCTTTTGCTAAACATAGCTTATCTTTTGTCAAACTTGTCTTATATTTGCTTAAATTTATTTTATATGATGAACTTAATTGTAATATTACTTCACTAAACATTGCCCTGGTCAAACTTATTTCAATTAGGTGTGAAGATTCTGGGGAACAAGGCCTTAGTTTTGAATTCAGTGATAATTTGCAAATTTTACTTGGCTTGTGTGATATCAAATCCAACTAAGAAAAACGGATAAGCACAACAGAGTTAATAAAGCCATAAAGAGAAGGAAAAGTATGCACATCTTGTTTGAACAGAAAATTGGGAGTTCTAGTTATAAATCAGTAGAAATCGTGTTCCTCTTTGTGGAACATGGCCACCTAAGTAGTCTATTGGTTTTATGGTCAAAGGGTTGGTCATTCGTATGAAGACCTCCCATATATCCAAGAGACTGAGATACACTGTCCTGTTGGAATCAGAGGTGTTTTGAGGGGGAATGAGCTCTTTTTTTTTTCCCAGAACGCAAAGGGGAAGAAAAGACTCGTTGTACTGTCTGGTTTTTATAATGTTGTAGCATGGGTGACATTGTGGAGCGGCCCTGGAATTGAGGTTTCTTTAGAACAATCTCAGAGAAGTAAATGACTTGGCAGATGCTCTAGCAGAAAAGTGTCAAAGCATGGTTTTATGTATGAACAACTGAACAATGATACAATGGAGCTTAGCCTTGTTGTATTTTGATTAAAGGATGAGGTGTGAAATGGCTGGTAAATATGAGATCTTTTCTAGATGGTGATTGGCAGATGCATATGGAAGAAGATAGGTTTAAGATAATAGTGCCAAGAGCATATGAACTTATCTTATATTGAAAAAGGTTATTTTAGATGTGTGTGTGTGGGAAAACAGTCGTGAATTTGGCTCTTTCAAAAGGAAAAAAAAAAACCCAAGATGTCCTACCTTTTGGCGTAACATAGCTTGAAGCTACTTCCCTTGAAAATACTCCAAGGAAAGCTTATGGATTATTGGCCCTGACAAAAGTTGTCTTCCACTAACTGTAAGGATTTGGCCTGGCTTAGACATAAGCAACCTTATCCCTGCAGTTTTAAGTTTAGGCATGATTTTGTCATGTACCCTTGGTTGAAAAAAACATCTCGATGTCCTAAGCTGACATGCTAGATTGTATTCCTAAGTTAAATAACATCCCCTTGTGACAATGTGGTCGCTGTTGGAAATGACCCGTGGCCAGTGCATGAATGAAACGTGGTTTTGAAGTGTGAAAGGAATTGCTATGATTTGTTGATCTGGTGTTTTCAGGGATGGTGAAATGGACTATTTAATCTAGTAGCCCTTTCTGTCCTGGGCAGCTTATTGATGTTGTTTAAACAACTGGGTCCTGGCAGCCCAGAAGATTGCCCCTCGTAACTTTTCAAGCAGGTGACTGAGGATGATTCCTAAGTCATATCTCAGACAGAGCCCACACCTAGGAAGCAGTTTTCGAAGTGAAAGTATGCAATTGGCAGGTTGATTATGTGACAATGCCTGCTTTTTTTTAGTTTTGTGGTTGTTGCTGCACTTGTTCTTTCTGAGTTTTTTTATAGAGTCCAACTTCCAAAAAAATATTAGTCTATTTCTGGACACAAATGATGTTAGGGGAATTTCACAAGCCTCATTCTGTGGTTTCCCAAGATTTTACATACAAACAAGAATGTAATAAATCATTTTGAATCTTAAGTTGAAGTCCACCTACAATTTCTTCTTTTCTTAAAACATAAATTGTCTTATGATGGGAATATGCAATGTAGTAGAAATCAATCCAATTCCCTCTAGCCTTTCCTTGTTTGTACTTGTTTTATATGTTTGTTGAATTGCAGTAGTGAATGTGCTATTCCTCCTTACCTGAGAAGAATTTGGCTAAAATCTAGCGGTTTTGAATACTGACGAGGTTGTTATCTGCACTCTGCAAGTCTGCAGTATAATAATCCTAAGAAATTATTTCACAGATTAAATAAGCTGTATTAGTATGTTTAATTACTTCCCAAACATTGGAATACTATTAATCTTTGAGTTGATTTGTGTAAATGACTAATATAATTCTAGTGTACACACTTGAAGGGGTTTCTTTGTCCTTGAAAAGATGCAAACACAGAAACACTTTAATACAGCTTATTGTTCAGGTTTGGAGTTGGCCTTCAGTTTAGTTCTTTCTTGTATTTATCAGATCGCTGTTGAAAGATGATAGAACGGATGATTTGAATGTGTTCTTTCCATGTAAAGCATTGTGGTGGTTTGTTTGTGTAAACCGAGTTATTCAAGTCCGGAAAAGAGGTGATTTGTCAGGGAATTGGCATTTGTGGCTCCTGAAGTTGAACTGGCGAAGCTCAATGGTAAGAAGCTGGTTGTTGCCTTGTGCAGGCTTTAAAGGGGATATTACTACTGTGTTTCTGTTGTATGACTGAGCTATGTTGTATTCTTTTACACGACACGTTAACTTGTATGATAATGTTATCATATAGCACCTCTGTAGTTTGCTAGCTGCCTATTAGTGATCAAATGTTAGTATATGTACTTATCAACTAACTACATTAAAGTTTAACAACTCTTTTATTCCCATTACTGTCTACGGAACCAGCTTTTACAATTGTATTCCATGTATTATTTCGCTCTTCAAAAATGTTACATTATCAGTTACTTGAAAATGCTAATGAGGAGTTTTGCATTCTGCTACTGTAAGTCTGTAACTAAGAAGTTCATACGAAGTAATATGCATAAATTAAAATTTCACACTACAAATTATTAGATCTTGAAAAGGAGTGGACGGTATGAAAAGGAGAAAGTTCAGCAATGTAGTTTTCAGATGTCGAATTGGGAGTCATCTTTTTATGTGCTGCTCATCTAAGCTTGGCTGTGGGTCGTGGGTCGTGTCAAGCCACCTTCATGCTGGCAGGTTCACCTAGTGCCAACCTTAAGTTCTACCTTGACACGCGACATAAATTTTCGGCTTGGTGCACTTGTGCACCTCTATATCTCACCATATTAACCATATTAACATAAGAGGAAATGCACTTCGTACAATCAATCAACTATTAATTCGATCCCCTAATTTGTTCGAAGATAAATTGATGCAGGGTAGTAGGGCTGTCAACTTCAGAGAATTCTGAATGCACTCAAATTCACAAAAATGTGAAAATGATGTTCAATTGGTTTAATCACAAAGATGTGGGTCCTACACTAATCAGTAGCAATTTTTAACTAGCAGCACTTATTAGGGGGAGATTCCTCTCTTTTCTCCTACCTTTCTTCTTGTGTGGGCCATTTATCATTATTTTGGGCCTGGGCCTATAATGGGTAGCCCAGTAAAAGGTCCCACTTGCCTTAGTTGCCTATTTATAAAATCAAAAACTCAATTAATTTCTCTGACTTCTATCTATAATTCTATAAGCTGTTGTAGAGAAAAACCTTTCAGATTATGTTACAATGATACAAGTAGCAAAATCCGGATGTGTATGTAGAGTTGTGTAAATATATATACTCGCATATTTTTTCCTCGATAGTGAATGCCAACTAGCTTAGTTTTTAAATTATTAGGTCAAGCATTAAAGACTATGATCTAATCCAATCTAAGTATCTAACATTATTTGTCTTATGGCTCTATTTGATTGTAAGATTGTAGACTATTTTCTTTAATTTTCATACTAGTAGAATTACTAGAACATATTTCGTCGTAAGATTGTAGACTCTTTTATTTAATTTTCATACTAGTAGAATTCTACTAGAACATATTTTGTCATAAGATTGTAGACTCTTTTCTTTAATTTTCATACTAGTAGAACTACTAGAACATTTTATCGTAAGATTGTAGACTCTTTTATTTCATTTTCATACTAGTAGAATTACTAGAACATTTTGAAAGCTATTATGATGACATAAGCTTGATGTCAAATGAACTTAATGTCCAACAAATGTTTAATTGCATACAATAAATGTAACCAAAACTTTATAACATGCATGCATGCTGGCACGTCTAAAATTTTTAATGAGAATACATACACAAATTATAAAGTTCGTATATAAGATTATTCGTCCTTGTTCTTATGATATTTATATGTTCCACATGTACATTATAATTTGTATTACGTAACTAAATTCTTTATTTAATTTGGGCTCTTAAAATTAAATAATTTTTTGAATAATTATATTGTCTAGAACTATAGGCATGCAATGAGATTATTTTGAGTATTATCCAAATGAATAAAATGATTTTATAATTACTATAACATCTAGACTAACTAAATAAAAAATAAAAGGAAGTCCTTAAAAATGATTGTGAATTCAAAAACGTACACCTTCCAATCAAAAGACAAACTTATTAGTGGAGCACTTGAACATCTCAAGTATTTGCATTATTTTCTTAATTATATATGATTTGATCTCCAAATTGTAGGAGAGAAAGAAGGAGATTGATAGGTGAGGGAGACAAGAAACACCACTTTTTTTTTTTTTACTTTATAAGTTTAAGTTGGTCATATATATTTATGTTTAACATTATAATTAAAATAATTATGATTGACAAAGCATCACCATTCACCACTATTAATTTATTATTGACTTGAATCTAAGGTCAAATCATTTCCATGTGAAGTTAATTATAATATTTGTGTTTTTAACTTTAGTATCATAATTACTCATATCAAAAGAAAACAAAAATTAACAGTTTGTTTCATAATTACTAACGTGCTTTACTTGAGGTAACAATATGGCGGTTGTCATTGTGCTAGCATTAGTCGCGGGGAATACAAACACGTGTCGTCATACTCATACACAAATTTCCCCTCTCAAAAATCACTAAATTATTACGACTATTATTTTACTATACTTAATTAGGTCTACACCGAAGAAAATTCCATACTAAATAAAACCAATTGATGATAATAGTACGTAAATCCTTTGAGTTATAAGGTGTATCTCCTCTATCTTCGATGTAGGACATATGTCGATAATAAAAAGGTTTAACACATAGCTACTCGTACTATATAAGCTAGCTAGAAATCCTAGTATAAGTGACTTGCTAGGTTGTGATACGTTATAAAGAGGTTATTTCTATTTGTGGTATTATGTTGTTGTTAAAACATATATACTGTGAAAACATTTATGTGTCTCATTCAAAAAAAAAAAAAAAAAAAAAAAAAAAAAAAAAAAAAAACAACGTTTTTCAGTCCATAATATATGGATTATGTACCTTAGCATTCTCTATCTTAATTAGGTTTTGACAAATGCTAGTTGTATTTTAATTTATTGTTTGCTCTGCATGTGAATTGACATGTAAACTGTAGAAAATTAATAGTAAAAAGAATAAAAAATTCCCGGTTTGTTTCTCTGTCATCAATTCTCAAGTTTAACATCTTAAGGTAATTACATTAGGTGAAGTGAAAGTAATAACTTTGAAAAAACTACAGTATTTAGCTACTTAAAAGAGTCAAAACACTATTTCAGATATATAGTCCTCAAATAATTAATTGAGTGCATGTTGAGTGTAGTGCTCCCTCTAAACAATTCCAACAACGTTTGTTGTTAGAGAATTACAAATAGCAAATAGCAAATGATTCATATAAAATTCCAATAATAAAAATTTCACATACCACCCTTTTCAATCATACTTTAGTGTCTGTTCTGATTTACTAAACTGAGTTGAACTGAACTGCACTGATTAGAGCTGAACTGATTGAAGCTGTTTGTAAGAGAAGGAAATGATACAAGGAAATGATACTTGGGGCTCTTAGCATGGTAACCATGTAGATACTTAATTGTATCATATCATTAGAAAATGGTATGGAGTAGAGTTTTAGGAAATGATTAGGGTTTTTTTTTTATTTAATGTAGATTGATTTCATTTGTTGCTTCCTTAAAACTGTACTTTTATATTGGCATCTAAGACTTTTCACAAAAATAATTGTAATTTTACCAAAAAAAAAAAAATATATTCCTACAAATTAAACACAAACCCATTTTGATTTAACTGCAATGTTTTGTCGTCATGATTTGTTTTTATCATAAATAATTAGATTCAAAATATATACTCAAATTGCATGTGACTAGTGGACCTAAATTATGTATTACTTAAAAAGATATTAATTAGTTTTTGTAATGGTGTCATATCACCTAAAAATGAAAATAAAAATCAAGGGATTAAAATTAAGGTGTTACATATTATATGTACAGTTGATAGGACGGCCTTAGCTAAAAATTATGTGATTAGACATAGAAGGTTTTTATTTCTCAAGGCACTCTAATTACAGCTTTTGACTTATAAAAATGAAATTGGATTGGTTAATTAAATGAGAAAATTTCATAAAAAAAAAGGGGACCATATATTATTATATGATGAGGAATATTTAATAGAAATTAAGAATCATAACTTTAACAAAAGGGTTGAATTTTTAGGTAATTATCCCTCTTTGAAGTTAAGTACTGTAATTATGTGACAAGATGCAGCCCACTAGAATAGTCTGGTTGAAGAGAAATTAAAGGTTATTAGCTTTCTAGAACCAAAATTAAAAGTTATGTTATTAATATCTTAAGCAAATGATAATTAATCATTGCTAGCCTAAAGCATAAAGTGACCTTAATTTTATTATCATGAATTTTGGATTTACCGTCACAAACTTTTTATTTCCTCATTAAGAAATTCATCATCGTCGGCATATGAATGAATAATTATTTTTGACCGTCGGCAGCATATTTTACTTGAGGTAAAATGTATACACATACCTTTTCGGGGATGTTTTATTCTCTTCATATAGACATGATCTTAATGGATAATGATATTCCTTGTTTTTAAATAATAGCCCACATTTTTATTTTTTATATTAGACTGTTCAAATTTATAAATCATAATACTCATGTAAGAAGTTGATGATCAACTACGAGTCTAATTTTCTAAGGATTCTTGTATTTTGTTGACGCGACTAAACATGATTTTACTTGAGTTTAGTTAGTCCAGTTAATATGACCCAAAACCCAAATTAAACAAGATGAAGTTACATCAATCATTTTTGACCCAATTTGTCACCTAATAACTAAAGTAACAAGATATCTAGCTATTTCAACACATACAATGTATTATACGTGCATTAACATATGTTTGTATGATAATTATTTGAATAGCTATATTGACCCAAAATCAAAATAATCTACTAGTATATTACCAAGCTAAAATTGGTATAATGGCGAGGATTGTACCTATTAATCTTGAAATTGGTGAGGATTCATTAGAGTCACTTTAAGGGTGATGATCCCTAGCTTACTCATCGCATAGCCCTCACTATTGTGAAAGTGTCTAATCTTTTTTTTTTGAAGACGTCTAATATAATTATATATGTTTATGCGTGTGAAATTCTTTCGATTAGCATCCGATATGATTCTAGTTAAATGATTGTTTTTAAAATTGTTGCTTATTAATTAGCAAAGATGTCATGCCATATTTCGATTTTTATTTATTTTTGTGGAAAAACGACAAAT